CTAGTTTGTGGCAAAATTGGAAGTGCTTCAGACCAGGTTTTTTGCCTTCTTTTGGATCAACAGCAACAACATTTCTGAGGAAGGCTGAACTTGATGGACGCAAGTCTCTTTTCAGCTATGTAACTATGTAACTATGTAACTATGTAACTATATATATATATATATATATATATATATGTATATATAAATACATTTATTTTATTTTTAAACATGTTTAATGATTTTTGTTTTTTACTTTCCCTCCAGCAGGGGGACTGTCTGACATTTCAGACAGTCCCCCTGCTGGCATATCCACAGCCAGCTATAGGGGGCCATGTGATCACCTGGCCTCATTTGCCGGGGGAAGGCTGCCTGTGCTGTCAGGCAGTCCTCCCGAAGAGGATCGTGTCGGAGGTGAGTACCGCGGACCTCCAGGGGCTGAAAGCCGTTACGGCGTTCTATGCCGCCGCAACAGATTTAAAGCCCATTTAATGTGGGACGGCATAGAATGCTGTAACAGCGTTAAAGGGTTAATAATATTTCTTATACACTCCTCAACATACATAGTCCAAATGAACATCAACAACATTTTCTTCATAAGGTTCTAACTAAAATTCCTCAAGACCAATTCGAATTTCTAATTTTAAGTGGTGATATGAATCATGTCTTAAACTCTCGAGTTTACTACAATTAATGAGAACTCCCCCCGATATAAAATTGTGCAATCCCAAGGGAAAGCAATTATTACATTAATTATGGAATTTGGACTTTATGCTGGAGAGTGACCCATCCAATGGACCATGATTATACATTCTATTCCCAAGTCCATAAAACATATTCTAGGATCGATTTTATATTAATTTCTGGCAAACTACTTTCATATATATCACAAAGCATGATAGGTAATATACTTTGTTCACGTCATGCGGCAGTAGCAGTTATGATATGGGATCATTTTCAGTATAGGGGCCAAACTTCTTGGCGATTAAATGATACATTATTACAAGACGAAAAATTTACAAAATATCTTGAGGAAAATATAAAATTTTATTTCACTATTAATGAAACACCTGATGTTACACCAACAATTTCCTGGCAAGCTCATAAGGCGGTAGCGAGAAGTTTGTTAATAAGCCAAGCTTCTTACATTAAATGTAAATCAATAATGAATATGTCTCATTACTTTGCACGCTTAGAGACACTACCAGCGCTCATTTTTTATGTCCCTCAGATACACACAGTGGTGTACACATGATCCATAGGGCCCTGGTGCGAAAATTGATCCGTGGGCCCCTCCCCCGCGCTTACTCTGCGCGGGTCGGGGACACAACACATGGAGGCGGGCACCTGATCGCAGGGGTTGCAGGGCTGCGACCCCTGCAACCGCGGTATGTACGCCAGTGCATGAAGATACACATACACTTAAAGGACCACTATAGGCACTCAGATCACTTCAGCTCAATGAAGTGGTCTGGGTGCCAGGTCCCTCTAGTTTTAACACTGCAGCTGAAAACATAGCAGTTTCATAGAAACTGCTATGTTACACTGAGGGTTAACCCAGCCTCTAATACAGGCTTTCCCAAACACCGGCGCTCCAGATGTTGAAAATCACAGTGAGAAGATGCTGGAGGTCCATAGGAAAGCATTGAGTATTGCTTTCTATGGGCGGCATGAATGCGCGAGCGGCTCTTGCCGCGCATGAGCATGCGGAGCTGAGAGGCAGATCGAGGCAGAGAGATCCCCAGCTCCAAGGGAGCCCGGCGCTGGAAAAGGTAAGTGCTGAAGGGGTTTTAACCACACACACACACACTCTCATTAACAGACTCATACACACTAGCTAACAGACACACACATTTACTGACAGACATACACTCACTGACAGACAGACACACATACACACTCACTTACAAAACATACTATCACTGACAAACACACACTCATTAACAGACACCAAACAGACTCACTAACAGACACCAAACAGATTCACTAACAGACACACACAGTAACACACTCACTGACACATAAACTAACACACACATACTGACACTCACTAGCAGACACACACTCAATAACAGACACACACAAACTAACACACAACTAACAAACTCTGTAACAGACACACACATACACTGACACACAAAAACAAACACACACACACTAACACACATACACACTAACTTTTTTTATTTTTATTTAATCCTCCAGCCTCCCTGCCTTTGGGAGTGCTGAGGGGATTTCAGCTTTTCCCGGGGTCCAGTGGTGCTCCTGTTCAGCTCCTGCGCTGCTTAATGATGCCGGAGTGACGTCATATTCCGGCTCTTGCATCACTGCGGTATGCACGAGAAACTGGGCAGAGAGCGCTCTGGGGAGAATGCTCCCTCACGCGCGCCCGCCCGGTTACACCATTGCCAGCCTCGGGGGCCCTGAGGTGGCCAGCTCTTGGGACCTCATGGCAAGGAATTCTCTGAAGATCTGAAAAAAAGAATTGTTGCTCTACATAAAGATGGCTTAGGCTATAAGAAGATTTCCAAAAGTACAATGTTATAGAAAAGTAACACTAAAAAATTACTACCCTAAAAGTTTGACAAAGACTGGTGGTAGAATTAGTTAAAACACCACCATTTGAAATACCCAAGGGTGTCTACTTGTCAAAAATATATGGTTTGATGGGGGTAACTTAAATTGGCAGGCTTAAAAAATGTCCCAAAATGGACATGGGTGCATGATGACCAGCTGTGAAAATTCCAAGTTGGAGAACTGGAATGCGCACCATCCAAATAATGTCTTTTAGCCCCCAGAGAACCCAATAAAAATATGTACTCAGAAGATGTTGCTGAACACATATTGGGGTGTTCTTTGGCAGTAACCCTTAAGGTTCTCTGTACATGTAATTTTAAATTGCTATGGATGACAATTTTTTTTTTTAATTTGGCATAGATTGGTGGTAAAATGGTTGCATGAGAAGAGTCAAAATACCCCAAGTTTAATACCTTAGGTTGTCTTCTTTTAAAAAATATATACATATGAAGGGTTATTCAGGGATTCCTGGCAGATATCACAGTGTTACAATGTAACTTGCATTAATTTTGAAAATAAATGTTTTGTAAATAGCAAAGTGATATAAGAATACTTTTTGCCCTATACGTTTCCAAAATAGTTAAGAACATGTTAACATTGGGCATTTCTCAACTCAGGACAAAATTTAGAAACTATTTAGCATTGGTGTTTTCTGGCGGTTGTAGATGCGTAACAGATTTTGGGGATCAAAGTTAGAAAAAGTGTTTTTTTTAAATGTTTCCATCATATTTTATAATTTTTTATAATAAATTATATGATATGATGAAAGTAATAGTATCTTTAGAAAGATCATTTAATGACGAGAAAAATGGTATATAATAAGTGTTATCAAAAAAATCTATAAGATTAATTTGGCATGATCTCCCTGAAGTAAACCCATGTTGTCTCTGATCTTAAAATCCCTGTGATTTTAATTGTTCAGCAATCCTATCCTTTAACATGGTTTCCCTCACTTTCCCCACTACTGAAGTAAGGCTAACTGGCCTATAATTGCCCAACACTTCCCTACTACCTTCCTTATGAATAGGTACAACATTTGCTAATTTCCAATTTTCTGGGACTACTCCTGTTAACAATGATTTGTTAAATAAATCCATAAATGATTTTGCTAGTACACTACTAACTTATTTTAATAACTTTGGATGTATTCCATCAGGCCCCATTGTCCGTGTATGATATTTTAGCCGTAAACTAAGTATCATAACAACTTTAGCCTAATGAAGAAGTTTTATTATATGCATAATTTCCCTGCAGTATCACTGTTTAATTCTCTACCATGTAGGAATTAAATCACTCTTGTTTTTGTTTATGCAGCACTAACCACACCTCCCCTGCCTGTCACACACAGGTTGCATGATTTTTTTTCCAATCAGATCTGACAGCACATGGGTTTACTTTGGAATTTGATTTTTTTTTATCTACTGCTCTATTAATTGGACTTTAAGCACACAAGTGAGGCTTCTGCAGGCTATTAACAGAGGAGGAGTTAGGAAATTCTAAATTAAACAGTGTGCACATTTATGCATAATTTTATTTAAAGGAAATGTGTAGGGAGGACTGTGTAGATTACATACAGGGAAGCTGTGGCTAGGGTTCTATAAACAAAGTGATTTAACTCCTAAACTGAGAGAATTGAGCAGTGAAATAGCAAGGGCATGATTTTATTGTTTTGCTTTAATACGTTGTTTTGGCAATGAATTGCCCAGGTGTTGATATCTATTTCAACCAAAAATTTAGGTTAGATATTTCATTTTTATTTTTCTTGTGGTTTATTGGATTTAACTTTTTAACAGGAATATTCATGAACACATGCTAGCATACACAAATGTGGGTAATTATATTCCAGTATAGGGCATAGGATGAGAGATCTCACACTGTGCATTTATTTTCTTACATTGATTTATTTTTCATGTTCACAGATTTTTACAGGCTCCATTTACAACCTGATGTCATTACGAAGAAATCTCATCCTAAAATAAAAGTGAACCTGCAGGTGAAGCTTCTAAAGAAGATTCTAGCAGAGATTGTTAAGTTTCATGAAGAGTGGAAGAAGTCCATTAACAAGGAGGATATAGAGTCAGAGTGGTATACAGCGGCAGTAGTGATAGATCGCCTGATCTTTATCATTTATCTACTTTTTGTACTCATTGTGTTTATTATTCTGATTGTTTCTTGGGCAAAATAATATTAGGGTAAAGTCTTCTGGGTGCAAATCTGTATTATTTTTTATTTTTTATTAAATCGTATTATAACAATTAAGCTCCTTGCACAGGTGCAGATTTGGGGAAGGGGAAGAGAGCTCCAGCATAGGTGCCAAGCATCAGATACTATTACAGACAGTGCCGGAGGATGAGAGGATCACCTGTATTAAATGTTGAAAGTCGTGGGGCAAAGGTTGTATCTGTGAAAGACCTGGTCTGTATCTGCCTGCCTGCTCTTTCACAATGGATTACATCAGTTGGACACCACTTCACACTGCAATACATCAGGCAGCTGTTCCTTCACACTGCAATACATCAGGCAGCTGTTTCTTCACACTGCAATACATCAAGCAGCTGTTCCTTTACACTGCAATACATCAGGCAGCTGCTCCTTCATACTGTAACACATCAGGCAGCCGCTCCTTCACACTTCAATACATCAGACGGCTGCTCCTTCACACTGCAATACACCAGATGGACAGTACTTCACACTGTAATACATTGGGTGAACACCACTTCACACTGCAATACATCAGGCAGTTGCTTCTTCACACTGTAACACATCAGACGGCTGCTCCTTCAAACTGCAATACACCAGATGGACAGTACTTCACACTGTAATACATCAGGTGGCAGCTGTTCCTTTACACTGCAATACATCAGGCAGCTGCTCCTTCACACTGTAACACATCAGACAGCTGCTCCTTCACACTGCAATACACCAGATGGACAGTACTTCACACTGTAATACATCAGGTGGCAGCTCCTTCACACTGCAATACAACAAGCGACCGTTCCTTCACACTTAATGACATCAGGTACCTTGCAATACATCAAGCGGCTGCTCCTTCAAACTGAAATAAATCAAGCAGATGCTTCTTCACACTTAATTACATCAGGCGGCAGCTCCTTCACACTGCAAAACATCAGACGGACATTACAATACATGAGGATGAAACTCCTTCACACTACAATACATCAGGCGGACACTCGTTCACACTGCAATATATCAGGCACTTGCTCCTTCACACTGCAATATATCAGGCACTTGCTCCTTCACATTTCAATATCTCAGGCGCCTGGTCATTCACACTGCAGTACATCAGGGGGCTGGCCCTTCAAATTGCAATAAATCAGACAGCTGCACCTTCACACTGCAATACATCAGTGGGCCAGTTCCTTCACACTACAATACATCAGGTGGACCCTCCTTCACACTGCAATATATCAGGTGCCTGTGTTCTATCATTCTGCTATACCCAGTCAAATTTCTATACCCCCGTCACTTCCGGTGAGGGGAATCAGCTGGATCCTGTGCTGCACATGTGTGCTAGCACCACTGCTACTCCTCCACAGCAAGGTCCTGGAAGGTAAGTAAAACTAGTTTTACATTTTCATTATAGTTAGTGCATTCACTAAGCTTAGGACATGGGACATTCAGGGTTAATGTTAGGGTTCAAATTAGGGTTAGGATTAGGGACTTGTTCATATTTAGGGATATTTCACATTAGGGGAATATCACTAAATTGTGCTTATTCACACTTTATTTTAATCCTTACCCCAAGGGTTAGGGTAAGAATAGAGTGTGAGAGAGGTTAGAATCACTTACCTAACCCTAATTTGAACCCCCACTTAACCCTAAATGTCCCGTGTGCCTAAGCTTAGTGAATGCACTAACTATAATGAAAGTGTAAAGCTAGTTTTACTTACCTTCCAGGACCTTGCTGTGGAGGAGTAGCAGGAGTGCTAGCACGCATGTGCAGCACAGGATCCAGTTGAAGTGACGGGGGTATAGAAATTTGACGGGGTATAGCCAGTGGTGTATCCTGGTTTTGTGCTGCCCTAGGCAGGACAAAACTCAGGCGCCCCCCCCCCCCCCACACCAGCCTCCCCCCCCAAGCCTTCTAAATACACACACACACACACACATTCACTGACAGATACGCATACACTCGCTAACAGAAACACACACACACACTAACAGACACACTCACACTCACTAACAGACACACACAGTCAGACACACACACTAACAGACACACACTCACTCACTCACTAGCAGACACACCCTAGCAGACACACACACACACACTCACACTCACACAGTCAGACACACACACACACATTAACAGACACACACTCACTGACACACACACTCACAGGCAAACACACTCACACTAACAGACACACACATAGTCAGACACACACACTAACAGACACACACACACACACTAACAGACACACACACTCACTGACACACACACTCACTGACACACACACTCACTGACACACAGTCAGACACACACACACACACTAACAGACACATACAGTCAGAAACACACTCACTCATTAGCAGACACACACTAGCAGACACACATAGTCAGACACACACTAGCAGACACACACTCACTCATTAGCAGACACACACACACACACACACACACTAACAAACACACACACATTAACAGACACACTCACAGACATATACACACACTCACATTAACACATTTTTTTTTATTTATCCCCCCCCAACCTCCTTACCTTTGGGAATGCTGGGGGGGGGGGTCCCTCTCTCCCTGGTGGTCCAGTGGCTGATGGTCAGGAGGGCGGGCGGCTGGCGAGGGAGCTCTTCCTCTGAGCTGACTGCTCAGCTCCCTCGCACGCCGCAGAGTGAGGCTGGGAGCCGGAATATGACGTTATCAACCCGGATCCCAGCCTCACTCTGCGGCGCGCGAGGGAGCTGAGCAGTCAGCTCAGAGGAAGTGCTCCCTCTCCAGCCGCCCGCCCGACCATCAGCCAGCGCCGCCCAGCACCCAGCATGTCAGTTAGCCGCGAGGCTAACAAGACATTTGGCCTGGGCATTTGGGGGCGGCGTTTTTTGCCACCCCCTGGAAAATGCCGCCCAAGGCAAATGCCTTATTTGCCTCGCGTCTAAAACGCCCCTGGGTATAGCACAATGATAAAACACCTGCTCCTTCACACTGCAGTACATCAGGGGGCAGGCCTTTCAAAGTGCAATAAATCAGACAGCTGCACCTTCACACTGCAATACATCAGTGGGCCAGTTCCTCCTGCATTAAATCAGGCAGCCACTCATTGACAGGGCAATACCCCATTCAGCTGCTTCTTCACACTGTGGAAAATATCCATATAGTTAAATAATGCTGAAATGCAAACCAGTATAATGCAACTGATATATTGGATAAGCTTGCTGTGTGGTAATAGAAGGGTTAGTAGGCAAAATTCCTGTGATCAGCAATATTTTACTTGTTGCTTGCTGCCAAATATAGTTTTTATTTGTTACCCCTCAACAAATGTTACTGCACCCCCCGCAAGATAAAAGCTTACAAAGGTTATGTGTATTGTATCGTATATATAAAATTGTAGAAAGGGGATAGTAACTAAGCATTCCTTTGTAACTGATAACTCATATTTATGTAAAATTTCAAGCTCTCTGTCTCTCAGAATCAGTTTTGACTACTTTTCTCTCTATTGCAATAAAGGTGTCATCCTATACTTCCAATATTCTGGCCTCGGACTGCTTTATTAAAAAAAGGTTATTGCAGAGGGTATTGGCTACTTGGCTACTTGACTAACTACACTGCAAAATATCAGGGGACCAGCTTTTTCACACTGCAATAAAGCAGAAGGCAAGCTCCTTTACACTGCATAAAATCAGGGGGCAAGCTCCTTCACACTGCAATCCATCAGGGGGCAAGCTCCTTAACATTGCATAAAATCAGGGGGCAAGCTCCTTCACACTGCAATCCATCAGGGGGCAAGCTCCTTCACATTGCAGTGCATCAGTGGGCCAGGTCCTTTACACTGCAATGCATCAGTGGGCCATGTCCTTCACACTGCAATGCATCAGATGGATGCTCCTTCACACTGCAATATATAAGGAAGCTTCTGATGGAGGCAGCAGGACATTACATTCCTGTGGCTAAAAACGAAAATACTCTTTCGTTTGTATGCACCTTCTTGTTTAACCCAGCTTTCGTTAAAACATTCAATACGTTAATTGCAATTAACATTCATGCGCTCTCTGCAAATCAATGCATATCAATCCCTGTGGGATCTGCTCTCTTCTGGAGGAAGGAGAAGGTGATGTAGCTCCCAGCAGTCAATATCACTGGACCAACAGAGTAAGTGGCCTAACAATTTACTGTGCTGGGGTGGGGAGAGACAATGGGGATGGGAGGAGAGAGGGAAATGGCGATTTGAGGAGAGCGGGAGATAAAGGGGAGTAGAAAAATAGAGCTGGAGGAAAGAGGCGATGGAGCTGGAGGAAAGAGGCGATGAAGCTTTGCTCAGAAGAGGCCATGTGGGAAGACAGAAACTGCACATCACAGGCTCCTGAGCAAAGCCTGTTGTCAGTGCTGGATCTGCACTGGAGCATAGGGTAAAAGGTAAAAGGTAGTGAAAAAGTAGGGTGACTTAAACGTCTTGTGTGAGTATGTTTGGGTTGATGGGGCTCAGTGACTGTGTTTTTAATGGGCCATAAGTGTTATGATGGCAGACTTGCAGGGTGGACTGAGAGACAAGGCAGTGGGTGTGGAGATATGCAGGCACCTGCTGGCTGGAATCTGTGCAACATGCAGTTGGTAAACGGAAGGAGTCCCCACCACCTGACACTAAGTAAAAGTTACCACATCTCTCCGACCCTCTCTTTCTGGTCAACTGTTAATCTCCTATGTTCGACCTCATGGCCTAGTTTCATCTAATACTTTGGCTTGTTGGATCAGGTGGCTGCTTTTCCTAGCAGGCCTATCTTTGAAGCACATCCAGTCAGGGGAGTGATGGCTTCCGGGGCTTTAATGGCCAGGGGCCTCCCTGCAGGACATTCTACAATCATCAGATTGGTTTTGTGAAGCTACTATCTGACATTTCTACTTTCGTCCTACTGAACATGCCTTTTTTGCATTGTTGACTGAGCATTAAAACAGCAAAATATGAAGCCTCTTGACATGTAAACTTGTAAACTTGTAGATTATGCTAGCTTTAGTGTACATATAATCTTAAAGGGACACTATAGTCATCAGAACAACTACAGCTTATTGACTTTGTTCTGGTGAGTAGAATAGCTCCCTTCAGGCTTTTTGCTGTAAACACTGTCTTTTGTATTTAGAGAAAATGCAGTATTTACATTACAGCCTAGTGATAACTTCACTGGCCACTCCTTAGATGGCTGTTAGAGATCCTTCCTGGGTCATGGCTGCCTACAATGCATCCAAACATTCAGTGTCTCTTCCCTCTGCATGCAAACACTGAACTTTCCTCATAGAGATTAATTGATTCAATTCAAGGAGATGCTGATTGGTCAGGGCTGTGTGTGAATCATGCTGGCTCTGACCCTGTTTAGGCAAACAGCATCCAGATCTACAGCTTCTGGCTTGAATACTTATGGGGGCATGAGGGCCCAGGGGGGCTAGATGGTGATTTTAACACTATAGGGTCAGGAATACAAGTAGAAATGTCCACATTGGGCCCAGTTAGCCATTTTCCCTCCCCGGTGTCAAGTTCTCAAGTGTGAATGGGGAGCATGTGTGTTAAATTCAGTGTTATCGCTCTCACACTCTCTCATAGTGGTCAATGGAAATTTAACATGGCACCTCATGGCAAAGAACTTAGGCTATAGGCTATAAGAAGATTGCCAAGACCCTGAAACTGAGCTGCAGCACGGTGGGCAAGACCATACAGCGGTTTCACAGGACAGGTTCCACTCAGAACAGGCCTTGCCATGGTCAACCAAAGAAGTTGAGTGCACGTACTCAGTGTGTCAGTGTGCATGTGTGGCGGCAACCAGGTGAGGAGTACAAAGACAAGTGTTTCTTGCCTACAGTAAAGCATGGTGGTGGGAGTGTCATGGTCTGGGCCTGCATAAGTGCTGCCGGCACTGGGGAGCTACAGTTCATTTAGGGAACCATGAATGCCAACATGTACTGTGACATTCTGAAGCTGCAGGGCAGTGTTCCAACATGATAACGACCCCAAACACACCTCCTAGATGACCACTGCCTTGCTAAAGAAGCTGAAGGTAAAGGTGATGGACTGGCCAAGCATATCTCCAGACCTAAACCCTATTGAACATCTGTGGGGCATCTTCAAATGAAAGGTTGGGGAGCGCAAGTTCTCTAACATCCACCAGCTCTGTGATGTTGTCATGGAGGAGTGGAAGAAGACTCCAGTGGCAACCTGTGAAGCTCTGGTGAACTCCATGCCCATGACGGTTAAGGCAGTGCTGCAAAATAATGGTGGCCACACAAAATAGTGACACTTTGGGCCTAATTTGGACATTTCCACTTAGGGATGTACTAACTTTTGTTGCCAAAGGTTTAGACATTAATGGCTGTGTTGAATTATTTTAAGGGGGCAGCAAATTTACACTGTTATACACACAAAATAGTGACACTTTGGGCCTAATTTGGACATTTCCACTTAGGGGTGTACTAACTTTTGTTGCCAAAGGTTTAGACATTAATGGCTGTGTTGAATTATTTTAAGTGGGCAGCAAATTTACACTGTTATACAGGCTGTACACTTACTACTTTAGATTGTAGCAGAGTGTCATTTCTTCAGTGTTGTCACATGAAAAGATATAATAAAATATTAACAAAAATGTGAGGGATGTACTCACTTTTGTGAGATACTGTATATATATATACAGTTGCAAGAAAAAGTATGTGAACCCTTCGGAATGATATGGATTTCTGCACAAATTGGTCATAAAATGTGATCTGCTTATCATCTAAGTCACAACAATAGACAATCACAGTCTGCTTAAACTAATAACACACAAAGAATGAAATGTTGCCATGTTTTCATTGAACACACCATGTAAACATTCACAGTGCAGGTGGAAAATGTATGTGAACCTTTGGATTTAATAACTGGTTGAACCTCCTTTGGCAGCAATAACTTCAACCAAACGTTTCTTGTAGTTGCAGATCAGACGTGCACAAAGGTCAGGATTAATTCTTGACCATTCCTCTTTACAGAACTGTTTCAGTTCAGCAATATTCTTGGGATGTCTGGTGTGAATCGCTTTCTTCAGGTCATGCCACAGCATCTCAATCGGGTTGAGGTCAGGACTCTGACTGGGCCACTTCAGAAGGCGTATTTTCTTCTATTTAAGCCATACTGTTGTTGATTTACTTCTATGCTTTGGGTCATTGTCCTGTTGCAACACCCATCTTCTGTTGAGCCTCAGCTGGTGGACAGATGGCCTTAAGTTCTCCTGCAAAATGTTTTGATAAACTTGGGAATTCATTTTTCCTTCAATGTTAGCAATCCGTCCAGGCCCTTACGCAGAAAAGCAGCCCCAAACCATGATGCCCCCTCCACCATACTTCACAGTTGGGATGAGGTTTTGATGTTGGTGTGCTGTGCCTTTTTTTTTGCCACACATAGTGTTGTGTGTTTCTTCCAAACAACTCAACTTTGGTTTCATCTGTCCACAGAATATTTTGCCAGTACTGCTGTGGAACATCCAGGTGCTCTTGTGCAAACTGTAAACGTGCAGCAATGTTTTGTTTGGACAGCAGTGGCTTCCTCTGTGGTATCCTCCCATGAAATCCATTCTTGTTTAGTGTTTTACGTATTGTAGATTCGCTAACAGGGATGTTAGCATTTGCCAGTGACTTTTGTAAATCTTTAGCTGACACTCTAGGATTCTTCTTCACCTCATTGAGCAGCCTGCGCTGTGCTCTTGCAGTCATCTTTACGGGATGGCCACTCCTTGGGAAAGTAGCAGCAGTGCTGAACTTTCTCCATTTATAGACAATTTGTCTTACCATGGACTGATGAACAGCAAGCCTTTTGGAGATACTTTTATAACCCTTTCCAGCTTTATGCAAGTCAACAATTCTTAATTGTAGGTCTTCTGAGAGCTCTTTTGTGCGAGGCATCATTCACATCAGGCAATGCTTCTTGTGTGTGTTTTTTCTAGGGCAGGGCAGCTGTAACCAACACCTCCAATCTCATCTCATTGATTGGACTCCAGTTGGCTGACATCTCACTCCAATTAGCTCTTGGAGATGTCATTAGTCTAGGGGTTCACATACTTTTCCCACCTGCACTGTGAATGTTTACATGGTGTGTTCAATAAAAACATGGCAACATTTCATTCTTTGTGTGTTATTAGTTTAAGGAGACTGTGATTGTCTATTGTTGTGACTTAGATAATGATCCAATCACATTTTATGACCAATTTGTGCAGAAATCCATATCATTCCAAAGGGTTCACATACTTTTTCTTGCATATATATATATATATATATATATATATATATATATATATAGTATAGGTATAATGGCACTCACCCTTGCTGATACACTGGAGATCCTATGCCCTGGTGCTGTCCCACGCTTGAAATATACAATATATAAATAGAAAGGGTGCACTCTCCGGTCTTTTTAAGTATTTCAAAATGATTTATTTTGTTACATAGTGTAACACATTGATCGACGTTTCGACCCGTTCGGGTCTTCCTCAAGATCCTGAGGAAGACCCGAACGGGTCGAAA